CACCCATATGTTTATCTCGAAAATTGAACTTTTTTTAAAAAAATCGATTTTTGAAGGGGACAGTGGTCTTAATATAAAACTAAAGACCCTGACATCATTCACTTAATCTACCCTCGAGTAAATAATATGTAAGCACTCTGTAAACGGTTCACGATCAATCTGTTCAGACTTCGTTTGTAAATTGTTACATGACAATTTATCAATTATTCTTATCCACCAGTTCAGCAGAATACTATTTATGAATGATTAAAAGTTATTCATCACATCAAAAATTTGGGTTTATTCTATTCTAGTTCGAATGGGATGTGGATCGTCTTTTCAGAAACAGCAATATTAACACCTGTCGCACACTGTACATTATATATTCACGCTGCAACTCGAGAAAGATAAGCTAATGCATTTAAGGAAAATTTATATGAACGATAATACTTTTATCGTCATTCACAATACGTATATATCGACTATGTTGGACAGATATTATTAAATTCCTATGTAGAAGTATCTGAATCTCAGTTTTCTATCGATCTATGAGTTCGTTGATTTGCATCGGTATGATTCGTAGTAATAAATTTAATAGATTCATTCTCAGACGTCATTTCTCTTCGGTTTTCTCTGTTCTATTAGATTCATTTATGTTTAGGATCAAATTCTTTTGATTTTGTCATTGACTATCGGTGGTTCTTTGCTAATCATCGATCGTGAAATGTTCACCATTCACCAATTGACAACATAATTACATTTGCAATTTCAAACAAAACATTAAGGATTGACTCATACAACATTTCCATCGAATGAATTCATTGTCATCTGTGTATTGATGTCGTATAGTGAGAGAATATAAAATTGTTTATTTAGAGTAATAAAGAAAAGATAATGAGAAATTTTCGTTAGTATTTTCTTAACATTAGTGTCATATCTCGTCTTTTAAATATTAGAAAACAGAAACACAATATATTCAAAATACAAAGTTATCTTGATTAGAAAATTATATGAGTTTTTGATTCAATATACAGTGGTTTGCAAAAAAAACTCTTGGCCAAAAACTGATTATGGTGTCAGACACCTTACACGCTCATCTTTAGACTTTTTGAAGCGATTCTATAAAAAGAATTACTAATGTATGTTCTGGATAACGTTTCTCCTATCTATATCTTCGATGAAGACTGTGCCTTTTAGTTCATTGGAAAATTAAGGAAGGTGCTTAAAACTGGCGTTCACCATGAGAAAAGCTCATTGAACATCATTTCAGTAAGTATGGATTTAGATAATCGGAAAAAACCAAAAAATAAAGTCTTGAAAAAGTGTAATTGTTTTTTTTGGCTTCGAATTTTTATAATTCTGTTCTGCATTTTCCCTGTGAAGATGGATGGAAAACAACACTAAAAAATATCACTGTGTAGTATTTTTTGTGGACTATCGAATCATACTAAAACTAACAAAAAAGAACGTTGTCTGTCAGAGCAGTAGTGAAAATAAAGTGGTCAAGTTTTTTTGCAAATCACTGTATATATCAAATTTCGATTAACATATTTTGAATGATGATGTAATATCATTAAAGTTGCAATCTTCGAAATTCAAACGGCAATTTACATCAGGTGTAACTTTCATTGAGCGTCCTTGACAATTTTCATGTTCAAATAAAACAAAGCATCTTCCATGTGTGTTTATTGATGAAGCACGATCCTTCATCCAATCAAACAAATTGAAACATCTATAATCATTATTATGACGAGCATCACTCCACCATAATTTCGGTGTTGATAAAGCGTAATCCAACCTGATAATGATAAATCAATACATGACAATACTATAATTACGAGAAATGATAGGATAACACCATTGGAAGCCATTGTTTCTACAATTAATTATACGTATTTGTAATGTTACGCGTATAATATTAATCTGTTTCTTATTTTCAATAATATTATGCTTTGCTATCCATATATATATACGAAAGAGAACGTAGGAATTTTCCACAAATTATTGTATAGTGCCACATGAGAATTTCCCCAGTGGCATTATATATCATCGATGAAATGTTAAGTATGATGTTTCTGTTGAAATTCGTATGTGGTGCAATACTATCAATCGTGGGAAATTTCTTATTCTATCTTATTATCTTCTCATGTACGAATGAAAAGCACGACCTGAGTATCATTGTATGTAGAAAAGAAAAATGGCTATAAGTCGAGTTAACTGATTTTCATGAACTTTTTTTGTGTTTCACTGGTGTAAAAATAGTCGCTCATGTCTGAAAATAATCAAGTTTCTATCTATTTTAATTTTTGATAAATAATAATAAGACGTCAAATATGGACATCCGAACGTCGCTTATCAGAAGTAAACCAATGTATCGTTTTATTTCATTGAATTTTTTAAAATTATTTCTTCAATTAAAGTTAAAGAACTTTTCAAGATTGATTCAATATGAGAGAAAAATGAAGGAAAAATAATATGAAAAGGAAAAGATGATTCTTTCATAAACTTACACGCAAAATCAAAAATAATGAATTTCAAACTGGTTTTAAAGCAAAATTTTTCTTAACTAATCTTGTTAAACAATATCTCAAAATATTCATGCGACAACATTTTGTGTGTTCAAGATAAAAATCACTTTTGCAAACAAATTGTAGAGATATTTTTTTTTAAGTATTTATACAATAAAACTGATGTGTATGTGAAAATAATATATAGAAATCGGCTCCAGTACAGAGACGTGTTGGGAAAATTAGTATTTTTTATATATATTCAGCATCATGCTATCAAATACAACACTTAGTTTTCTTAGATTGTTAAAATCATTTTTTTGGTTTTTTTTGCATGAACGATACACCCTGAACATGATCCACACTCATATACGCAATGAATAGTCCAAAATGAATTACATCCTAAGTATTTATAGTTTTACTCCAGTTCTCTAGACATGATCCAGTTTTCGTACTACAAGATTCACCGTTGATACACTCATTTGAATCGATTTTGATAGATTATATTCTTATTCTTGTTATTTCTAATTCTAATAGTGATGTTTCTATCACACTATTGTCTTCGTCAGATACTGAACAACGTGAAATAACGTATGGTTTTTTTCTTTAGAGCCTTAATAAGATAAATAAGAACAGAAAATTTTGATGCGAAAGATACGATAAGTTATTTTACATTATTTAGTATCTGATAAAGACAATGACATTGTCGAAATATCATTAGATATAAATGTTGGATGCAGGTGAATATCGCTGTGTGATGCTGCTTACAATTTTTAGTTTACTTACAAGGTAACAATATTTCACATTTATGCTCACTCTAAATATTCACTAATTCATCAATCTAATTAGTTCATAAAAACAATGGAGTAAACTTTTTTCTTTGATATTTTTCTGTGGTTCGATAGAGCTTGTCGAGCTCTACTATTAATAGATTTTGTATAAAATTTGTATTTTTTCCAATACTGCAGAGAGCAATTATCAAATCATCGAGAGGATAAGACGGTATTCAAGAAAAAAATTACTATTCGTCATGCATTCATTGTATCAATGTCTGAAACTATCGACACCAAAATTTTCACATCTAATTATCTTTCTTAGTCGATACCCACTTTTTACCAGTATACCATATTCTGATTAATTAAAAAATAATAGCCACAAACACAACTGTCTAAAAAGTTTTCTTCGATTTTGTTTTGAAAAATAATTCTTCATATGTCTCTTTTACACAATAATTTTGATGGTTTTTCAATCAAAAAAAAACAATTTTTAGCAGTTTTCATCACCATAGTACAATTATAAAGCAAAATACACATGAGAAAGTGCGTGTAATGAGGAATGAAATAATGAATGAAGTGTGATAACTAATATCAAATGTATAATAATACTCAAAAATGAAAGAGAACTACAACGAATATAGAAAATTTGAGAACGCAGCAAATCATATAACAAATGCACACATAACAAGAGAGAACATAGATGATGGCTCATACCGTTACAAGAGCATGAGTATAGAAGAGGAGAAGACGAAGAAGCACATGAATACAAAACAGACAATATACGAATAACTACGCGTAATATTTTCAAGAAGAGTTTTTATACTTTTGATAGCTGTCAAAAGGCACAGACCAAGATGAAAAGTATATTTAAGAAGAATAAAATAAGTGATGATATGATCTAACTGAAGTTGAAGATCATAACATACCTACAGTACATACTCAGGGTTATAATCCACGATAGTACTTTTGTCGTGTTCAATAGTAAGTATGATTTTTTTTAATTATTTGATGTTCACCTGAACGATACAATGAACAGTAAGTATTGTTTTAAATGGAATAATTTTTTTTTAAACTTATAAATAAGAAAAGATTATTTCATTTAAAACAACAGTTACTGTTCGTTGTATCGTTGGATGTGGATATGAGTGTTTCGTTTAATCGAACTCACTTCCATACACCCACACTCTCTCCCAGTGAATTGACTATAGTTTCTTTTCTCAGAGCATATAGGTACTGTTCTTTTAATGTGGTTTATTTAGATTTTAGTTGGTTATTACTGTGTGGGTATTTGTTTGATTGAATGAATTTATGATGGAAACTATTACATGGACACGCATAGTATTGTGCTTAACGATATTAATGCAAGTATAAATATCCACATTCAGAGACTGCTTTGTTCACACGTCGAATAGTAGTTTTGTTGATATAATACCGAAACAGTTAAATATTCAGTCGAGAGTCAAGCGAGTCACGCAGACGAGCGTTACTTGTTAGTTTTCATGCGAGGTTTAAAAAAGAAAAAGTTATGTGTATCATAGTTATTTTCTGGAATATCCAAAAGTCTTATACTCCTCAAGACTATTTAGTCGTTGAAAGATTTTTTTTTATGTACGATGAACACAAAACAAAATAAATATACAAAAATGTGCAGAATTACATACTCTATATTTTTAGCTTATTCAAAATGAAACATAGAAGATGGTAAATTTCAGATCTTATCCGATAGAGTCTTTCATTTTCAAATTTCAGATTCATGTTTTTCATTTTCATTATTCGACGTAGTATTTTTCCGATGATTTATTTCTTGATTGAATTCTATACTAAGAGAATTAGATGAAGAAGATCGGCGGTTAATGTTTGAATTTTCCACAGTTTCGTATTGAAATGGATGATCTTTGAACAATGAATGTATTCTAGTTGATAGTCGGGATAAACTACTTGATGCAGATGATGATCGTTGACTTCGCGTAAATGAAGCTGTAAACATAATCGTATGCAACATTTCACAATGAATTGTATCCATGTATTCAGCTCAAACAAAACATTAGTATAGGAATACTTACTTATATTTGTATATCGATGAAACGCAGATACTCGACTTTTCTTTGAACTTTTGTTCGTCTTTACATCGAGTGATTTTGAATTAAGTTCTTTTCCATTCATATCATCTATAGCTTCGTTAGTTGTACTAGAATTTACAAATCCATAATCTTGTGATCGATCTTTTATCGTTGTAACCTATGATAAAAGTGGATTAGTTCTTCTCAAATTATATTTCATCATTTACCGTTGCACTTCTGATTTTACCATTTGTAGTAAATGTTTCATTTAATTTTCGATCATCAATATTTTCATTCATATAACTCATGGAGATATTTCGATCTGCATATGATTTAATATATGTTTCTCTTTGTTTTTTATGATGATTTTGTTTGTTAGGCAAAAAACAAACATATAAATTTTTTCCATTATCTAATTTTAAATTGTTAAGATTTGCAACAGCCTATTATATGAATAAAGTTTAAAATTTTAGAAGATATAATCAAAAGAAAGAATATTTACATTTTCCGCCATAGATGACTGCAAAAAACTAACGAAACCAAATCCCTTTGAACGATTGTATTGATCTCTTGCAATCTTAATTTAAATAAGAAAAAAAAAAACTCAATGATATAATAAGCTTTCGTCTCTCATTGTTTACTTACTTTATAATCGGTAACCGTACCGTATGTAGAGAAGAGTTTACATAATTTTTCTTCGTCCATTTCACTATCAAAGTTTTTAACATACAAATTTGTTTTTCGCTCAGGTCTTCTATTTCTATATATAGTATTGCGTTCTCCATCTGAATCGGATTCATTGTAATTGTTTAGCATGACTTCTCATACAAGAATCAAATAAACTAAAAAAATAGATCTGAATAAGTTAGTATGGACAAAGAACTGGTATTCACAAATTTCAAGAGGTAACGAAAATCATTATGTTAACATCTAATCTGAGTCTATGAATTTGCAATACATTTTTAGGCTAATGTGTATTTTTCGTGGAGAGGGAAAAATCCCTGATTAGCGTAAAAGTCTTTAAGGTTGTTTCTTTGAAACAAAAATCTCGGTACAGTATTAAAATGTGCGATTGTTATATGTATAACGTAACTGCGATCGTACTGTTACTGGCATTTGTGAAAACTGTGATGTGGTTACGATAAACAAATTGTACTCTTTAGAAACTATGTCGAAGTTATCTTCGGCATGTTCTCTACTGATGATCAGGTGTCATATTATCAAATGAGCTTTAATTGTTGTAATCAGCTCTAAAGAAAAGAAAAACAGAACATTTATTTTTACTAATTTAATCGTATACTAAGGAGAGTAATGACTTCTTATTTGACATCAAAAGTTTGATCTGAAAAACAATTTTACAATGAAGCAAGTGAACATTCTAAATCTGTCTAGAGAAAAGACAGTTATCATGCAAGTTATGAATGAAAAGATTATATTTTATCATCTTAAGAATATGACGCGATATAGGACGGTCAAAAAACGCACTCATATTGAAACGGCTGATTGATAATAGGATAAATACCTTGACAGCTTATCAATGAATTAAAAGATGTTTACTAGATTTCAACAGAATAAACTGATGAATACTTGAAATAAATTAAATTTTAATAGAAAAATGTAGCGAATTCTACATATTCTCCTAAATTAAACTAAATTTCAATTAAGATTGAACATAACTTAATTTAAATCTATAGAACCAATTATTTATTCTTGTTTTTTAACTTTTTCTTAACTCACGCCGCATTTCTCTCTGTCATGATGACGACAAACAAAAAGATATGCGAGCACACACAGGACATCACATCTGGTGTGGATGCCGGGAAAAACCGACACATACGAAAGCGCGCATGCAAATAGACAGCTCAAAGCTAAAATCTTAGTTGAATTCAAGTTTCAACTTTTACACTATTGAAGAAAAGCTGACTAATCACTAAAATCCATGAACAAACTTGATTACTTGATTCGATACAATCACTGATCAATCCTTTTTGAGTAAAAACGAACAGACGAATAATGTTAGAGGAAGATTCAAACAATTAACTCAAGCGTATTCGTGTGTTCGTGAAAAATCTTGAAGTTTACCTTCGTAGTTTGAAAAAAAAAATGAAGCGTCTTGCAGGCTGTTAAAAAATAAAATGTGAGAACACATATTTGTTATGTCTTCTTCTATATCTCAAGGCTGCAGCATGGCTTGTAATGACTACGTCATAGATAAGAACGCAGTTGTGTCGGAGTGAAAGTAACTACTCTGATTCGCTTCAACTACGGTACGAAATAGATATTACACCTAAATGTGACGCAGTCGTTAAAAAACAGGTAACATGGGATAAATTGGGGTGAATGTGGATGTGGGTATGGATGAGGATAAGGGTGTATATATTCTCATCCGCGCAACACCACTCACACTCACACTCTGGAAATATATGTGGATGTGAGTGTATGGCTGTGGACACAAAAGTATCTTCCATTCAAGTCCCACGCCCCACACATCCACACGCTCATCCAGAAGTACAAAGAAACAAATTTTGTTGAGAGCTTGAATGACCATGACTAAAAGAGTAGAACAACAACAATATCGATGGGCCGTCTAATCGAACGCAAAACTAAGTCTAACCGAAGAAAACCAACGAGTGTGACAAAGATCAAACTCGAACAACATGTGGATGTATCGATTTTCGAAAGAAAAATCGAACGGTAAGTAAATGAATATAGATTATTTTTTCGAATTATTTTTCTCGATCAGGTGTTAACAATTGACTTTTTCTTGATTGAATCATAGATACACATTACTACACAAATATTCTTGACTCAAAAATTCAATTCTATCTAGAAAACAATTTTATCCTAGACGCAAATTCACGTTATAAGATTTCGATCACTTTCATTAGAAAACAAATGTGCTGAGATATTATATTATGAAAGAAGTATACATGAGAGATATTCTTTTTTTTTTTTGACATGATAAATATTAACAAAAATGAATATAAATTACATAGTTAACTTATAAATAGTTCATGAATATAAACATCAAATTGTGGATGAGAAAAATAAAGTAGAATCGTGTCCTAAAACACAAAAATATATAATTTATGAATAGAATACACATTGTTTTTTGTTAAATAGGATTGAAAATGAGTGTCAAAAATGTAGAACAAGAAAGGTGAATTGAATTTTAGAAAAGTTCGAGTGTGTTTTTTTTTATCGATTTGACAACACTTGAATGTAATGTTTTCTAAACTATCTAGAGAATGTGTTGAAAGGCTTTTTTTTTGTATAAATAATTTTCAAAAATCGAAATAAAAAAAGATCACATACACGATATATCCGACACTGTATGATATTGTTTAGGCATTTCAATATCATCACCGCCGATCTTTTTTATTCCATTCATTAAACATTCCAAATATTCGAACATATTTATTTGCTAGAAAGAAAAAAGAAATTTCAAAATATAGAATATAATCATGAAATATTATCACTTGATTTTGTATTAATTGTACTTGATTTTCTAGTTTTTTGACTTTATTTAACATAATCTCTTGTGGTGAATATCTAATAAAAAAATAAAAATAAATTATAATTGCAAATATATCTCAAAGTATGTTATTTACACTCGATCTTCATCAAAATCAATGTCATAATCGACCATTTTACGATCAGTTTTCAAAAAATAATAATAAATTTCATTACCAAGTGCATCTTCAATTGATTCAATTTTTCTTGTTAATTCATAATTAGCAACAATATCTATAAAAATAAAAGAAATTAATTGAATTCTATCGATTTTTCTCTATAACTTACGAAGTTTCGATCGATTTTGATGTTTACGATATTTCCTACGAAACCATGGTAATTTAATATAAGTCGAAAGAAAATAAACTATTAAACGCCAAAAATGTATTATAATAACCAATGGTGCTGGTAAAGATGGTCTTGATAAATAATAAGATACTAATGAATAATATTGAAATTTCCAAATACAATCAGCATCCATATGTAAACGATCAAATGTATTACTTTAAAGAAAATATAATTCAATAGATTCAAAAATGCAATTGAAATATAATTTATCAAAAAACAAAGAACAAGATTTTGATTTTATCTAGAGTGACTGAGTGAACAAAAAAAAAAACATTCTGAATAAATTATCCATGATAGTTGAATAGATTCACATTCTAAACATTTGAGAATTATACCTGAACATTGCTATAAGTAGACTGATAAGAAGAACACTTGCAACAGTCATATAAGCAATAAGTAAAATAAACATAACATAACCACTAATTTCATAATTTTCTTCGAAAATAAAAAGAAGATATACGAATGTATTGTTTTTTTTTAACAAAGATTTACTCTCAATTTCATCAAGTGCTTCTAATTCGCCAAATATTTGCCAGTAAGCAAGATTTATAATAGCACGTGGTAGATGCCAAGTAAATTTTTCAACACCATATACAAGACTATAGGTAGGCACACCAAATGCCAAAACAAAGACGGTCAACATTAACATAAAAAATTTGAGATCATGTATCTTAATTGAAAACAAGAGAATATTCCAAAGATGCAAACTCATGTGATAAAAATCGAAAGAAAACCGATGGTTTTACCGGTCCTGTTACTGACTCCCATCGCTACAATTTACCCTGGTAAACCACCAGTTTTGATAAATACCGCGGTTTGCCGCTAAAAACTGTCCAGTATTTACGATATGGGAAATTAACCGTAAAAATAAAAAAATTTTATCAGCTCGGAAAATGATGTAGATTTTACTGATTATCAATGGATTTTATAAATCTTGGAATTTGTGTTTTTTTCAAATGCTCTAGTACAACTGATTCAGACGATATAAATTTTGATGTTTAGTATTGCTCACTCTTCTCATAAAACAGTCAAAAAGAAAAGAAGATCACTCTCAATGAATAGTTAAAAACAGAAAATAAGCAAACGAGAGAGAGATGCTGCTGCTGCTGCTTAGTGATTTTTCTCTGCAGGTGAAATTTTTTTTTCGTAAAGTTTCAACATATTACCATTTCACCGATCATAACTAATTTAGGACCAAGACGTTTGATAGCTGCAAACATATCAAGTGTACGTATATACCAAAGTGATAAATCAACTGCAAGAACGATACGTGCAGCACAAAAACATCGTGTTGTTGGGTAAATTCGAAGTATAAATCCAATAAAAAAGAGAAATAATGCTAAGAAATCTAATTTATTCCAGAATACTGAAGAATATGCTAGAATTTTGCTATAAATTGATTTTAATTCAATTTCAAAAATCTTTAAAATAGATAGAACATTTATTATTCAAATGAAAATCAATTATTATTATTATTACTTGTCGTATTTCATCACAAAATAAAGCAAAAATCCATATAATTAGGATAATTTCAGTTGTTGCTAATCGTTTATGATGATGAAGATTATATGAAAATGATTGACTATTATTCGTTTTTTTCAATGATTCTTTACGAATATCAAGATCGATATTGACATTACTATTTGCTAAGCATTTATTCGATTGAAGTCCGTAGAGAGGAAAAAAATCGCATAAAATTACATAGGAAAAGAGTATAAGAAAAATGATATGAGAATACTAAAAAGAGAAAAATAAAAGAATTTATTTTCATGATTTGATATTATCTTCTCAGAAAAAGAAAAATATGTTATCGAAAATGTCTTACCAAATTGTAAAGATATTTA